AAAAGAAATCACAAGGACCACTCTCTACGTTTCTCAGAGGCCAGGTGCTAACACACACACACACACACACACACACACACACACACACACACACAAACTTCAGTCTGTTTAGCACCCTCTGAAGGTCCAACTTTGAATTGGTAAGAGGACACCAGAGCTCAGGCAGAGTCTGGCACCCAGGGGCCATAGCTGGACACGCATAGGTGCGGAGGGGTGGGGACCCGGGTCTGCCTGTGCGCTTGGTCTCTCAAGTCCAGTCGGATGAAGTGTCACTGGCAATACTTGACCCGGAGGTGAGGTCACCCTGCCTTTCACCTTGTTGGAAAAGCGTGGGTGGGTTCCATGGGACCCCATGCCCTCGTGGGCTCCTTCTGGAGCTCATGCTGATGAACAGGACGGGAAAATTTCTAATCCGTGCTGCGTCTGCTGGCAACTCAGGCAGCGTTCACTAAGCGGCTGCTGTGTGTGGGGCCAGGGCTGGTGCCCGTGCGATGAGCCAGCCCTGGCGGAGGGCAGGTTGTCTGCTCCTGGGAGGACAGCGGTCTCCAGTGTGAGGCTCGGAGTGCGCGTGTTAGATGCTGGGAACACTGCCCAGTAATTCTCTTGAAGTCAAAAGTAGGAAGAATCAACCGATGAATGGATAAAAAATATGCTTTATAGATAGATCGGTCAATATCAGACACACGTGTCTAAATACCACATTGTTTCTCTGATGTGAGAAAATGTAAATAAGGACCAACATGTATAACAGGTACTGGGAAATGAGAAGAAAATTTTCAAATGAGAAGGGGAACCAAGTGGGGGAGGGGAAAGGAAGGAAGAGATAAGAAAAAGAGACTAGAGGGAAAAATTTGGAAACAAAGGTTTTATAAATAAGGATGGGAAGAAGAGTTAACGGGGGAGCGGAATGGGGAAAAATGCAGCAAGATACATTATGTACGGTACAAATTTCCCTATGATCAGTGTGGTCATTATGTATATAAAGTACCAATATTGGTAAAAAGTTGCAATAATTAATAAATACATGCATAGATGTAAAAGTGGGGAAAGTGGGAGGCCTAGATTTTGTGTGTTGGACCTTGGGATTGTTTTCTAACCCTGCTGGGGAAATTGCCATCTTGGTACAAACGATTGCGATTGTATATTTACCACATTCCTTTAAAAAGCAACAAAATCTCCTCAATATTACTTGTGCTATAAATGTCATTTTTAAAAAATTAATAGAGCTAGGCCTAGGTCTGAGTCGCAGTTAGTAAGACCCCCTCGGGGCCCTGGGTTGTAACTCAGGTGCTAGTATGCATTGCAGTAACTCGTCAAAGCTCAGGCTGTGCTCGGGTGGTGAGTGGCCCTGGGCAGGTTACGCACTGGCTTTGTTGTCTACTGGCAAGTCAGTATTGTGCCGGTGAAAGGGACCTTGTCCCACTTTTCAGGATCTCTGACTTTAAAAGAAAAAAAAAAAACTTACTTTAACATCAGGCCCAGAAACTTCTCTTGGTTTTTAAAAGATTCAGCATTTAGCGCATAGGTTTATTTGTTAAGTGTAAACAAATAAAAGAGAAAACTTGAGAGTTAATCATGATCCTGTTTTTCATTTAGGATTCCTGAAGTGTTTGTCATAAAATAAAATGGTAACTCGTGACACTATAGCATTCACCATGTGCAATAATTCTGTAGACGTAGTGTGACAATCTTTGAAAGATGTCACCTGTATTTAGAGTGTCATTTTGATATTATCACAGTATTCTTAGCTTGTAAGAAAGAATCACCAAGTATTTTCTGAGTTGCCGGGTTATGATTGAGCCCACACCCTTTGACAGACTCATCCGTAGCACGACACTGCCCCCTGCTGGCCCTGTGCAGAACAGCACAGGAACATCGTGCTCGGCCGCGAGTCCTCAGGTCCCACGAAACCAGTTCTGTGAGGAGGAAACGCTTTGCTGTCTTGCTGTAGTAGAAATGTTGATTTCTTTGCAGTTTTCTTTGAAATGTTGTAATTTGCACTTTTCGACCTGCTCCTTTATGGCCATTTCTTCTTCACTTCTAAAATATCATAAAAGAGGGGCTGGGGATTTAGCTCAGCGGCAAAGCGCAAGGTCGTGAGTTCGGTTCCCGGTACCGGAGAAAAACCAAAAACCAAAAAAAAAATAAATAAATAAAATATCATAAAAGAAAAAATGTCATTTTTAAATTTGTTCTAAGTTCTTGGTATCAGTACTTACACATAACAAGAAATCATGAAATAAATTTTAAGTCATTTATAATTTTTATTTTTACGGTTAGCAAAATTTACTGACCATGGAACAGATTCTCTCTGTGGAAGAAACTCAGATTAAAGACAAAAAGTGCATCTTGTTTAGAATAAAAGGAGGGAAGCAGTTTATCTTGCAATGTGAGGTGAGTTTTTATTTTTACTTACTTGCTCTTTAGCGAAAGTTAGGACAATTACATAAATATTCAGCGAGGCTGACCGCCTGGTAATAAAGTACTTTCTCACTGTGTGGTTTATCATTTACAAACGTAGCAAGAAACCCCTGATATGTAAGAATTACAGCAAATTCAGTTATTTTTTAAAGAAGCAACGATTAGAAAATGGAAAAGTGTGTGAAATAACTAAGTTAGCTTCTCATGAAGCAGGCTGTGGGACTTCTCAAGGGGGAAATGCTTTGTTTTCCTCAAAATTATGTTATATAAGCCTGAATTTCATCTTTCTTTACGTATGCATCTTATACACAGGATGGAACCCAGGGGCCCTCTGCCATCCAGCTGTGCTCCTAGCCCTCCTTTTACTTTTAAGACAGGTTCTCACTAAGTTGTCCAGGCTGCGCTTGAACTTGTGACCCTTTTGCACACTGCACGCCACTAGACACACTTTAATAACTTCATTACTGAGCCGGGGATATAGCTCAGTGGCACGGTGCCAGCCTGGCAAGTGCGAGATGCTGAGTTCATTTCCCAGGACAAAAAATGATGACTTCATTATTACCTTACACACTTTTTACTTGGAAGGTACTTTTTACTTGGTCAAAACTCCCCCAATATGTTATTTTCCAGACTGCATTTGCTGTAGAAATCAAAAGTAATCCATAATCAAATCCAAGCCAAGGCAGAGATTTTCATCTGGAGGCCGGGGGAGTTTGCAGGCAGGGTCCAGCTGGTGGGTCCCTCTGCTCTAGTCACCCAGCTTCGACACAGGCACGTGGGGCCTCGTGAGGATGTTAGTCGTGACAGGTGGCCGTTGGCGAGGTGGGTGAACATGTCCCGACTCTCGTGTTTGCGTTTCCCTGCAGAGCGACCCAGAGTTTGCGCAGTGGAAGAAGGAGCTGACCGAGACCTTCACAGAGGCCCAGCGCTTGCTGCGCCGAGCTCCCAAGTTCCTCAACAAAGCCCGGTCAGGTGTGGTGGAACTGTCCAAGCCACCGCTATGTCACAGAAATAGCAATGGCCTCTGACCCAGGGCCCGAGGGCTTCCAGGAGGCTGCCCTGGGCCTCAGCCACAACCAGATCCACAAATGAGCCGGAGCTGGGATGGTGCAGGCACCTAGCTGAGCGCGGGTCTCTGGGACGCTGACGTCCCCGCAGGAGTGGGACTGTCCTCGGCTGGGGCAGCCTCGCACCACTGCCGGCCGGTGTCTGTCTGCACTGGGAACTACTGAAGAAACCACAGCCCTCTTTCTTTGCTACGTACTTATTTTGGTATCTGTGAACTTAGAATTTGAAATGATTCCTACTGACCACTTAAATTTTTATGTCTGACATCAAACATACCTTAGACTTTGCGGGATGGAATTAAAACACTTCAGGATCAGGGAGGAGGCTGCCTTGTGCATAGCCATGTTTCGCTCGTCTAGGTCTGTGCACCCAGCTGCTGGGGGAGGCAGGCGGTGGTGTTCCTGTGTGCACCCCCAAGCGACTCTCGTCCCCCTGGGGGTGGAAGTTAAGCTGTATCCTGACGGGCAGCTCTTGGGACCTTCACCTGCACCGCCTGCCTCCACGGGTCTGTGCCGGGGGCTGCCAGCTGGACAGGGCCATTGCCCCTTTGTAATGTGTGTGGGATGGACTGTTACTGCAAGGAATGGCTGCAAGCATTGCAGAGGGAGCGCGGCCTGCAAGCCTGGCAGGCTCCTGTCACTGCAGCACAGTGATGCACTTGGTCCCCACCACCAACAGCTGTGGGACACAGGCATTCCCTTTCCCTCGGTGTCGCCCTAGGAAAAGGAGAAGAACTGCTCGGTTTTAGATTTGACTATGACTTAAAATGGATTTTATTTTGAAGAACAGTGCTGAGGACTGAATGTGTCCAGTGGGTTAATTGGGTGCTGACCTCTGTCGTCCATCGCTAGTGAGTAACACTTTGCACTGGGCTTTTGCACGATTCTGAGGACATTTGAGCAGAACGGCTTCCCCAGCCCCGCTGGCGTCCCCTCCTAGAGTTTGATGTCCCTGCTGCTGCTGTGCTGGTGATGCCCCAAGCGGATGCCGGGCTACCAGAACCCGTGAAGGCCCCCACGTCATCAGCTAAGATATGATAATAATTTTAAAAGTCCATATATTTGCCCAGTTCTTGGTGTGGTTTTATTGTATGTCTTTAACTACTAACGATAGAAATACCTGAACCTCATCGTCACTGCATCCTGTCCTTGATATTTTCATGGTTCCAAACCACCATTTTTGTATTTGTGTGCTGCAGTCATCGAGAAAGTATGAACTTTTTACTGAAATTATATTGTAAGAGTTTGGAAGATAATTTAATGTGAAAAGGCCTGTTCTATAGGCATTACTCTGGAAAAGGAATTTGGGGATTTGTTATCGATCTCAATTCCTAGTTGGGTTTTCAATGCACATACGTGTTCTGCTGTTTCCAGTGTTGGAGGGGGCTGTCCTGTGCATGTGTTCCACTTGTTTAAAAGGGAAGCGTTCAGATTCTAGTAGGCACCCACATCCACACCTGCACACATGCACGCACGCACGCATGCGCGCACACGCACGCATGCGCACACACGTCAGCCGCCAGAAACGGAGCAGCCCTTGCTATTGCATCTGCCTGGCCTCATTCAGTTGCAGTGATAGCTGCTGTGGGTTTCCATGGATCACAAGCTCTCAGGCGTCAGCCCGCAGTGCAGGCTGCGCCTCTGCCCCCTTCACAAGACAAGAGGCCTCCTGTTGGGGGGAGCTGTGACACCACCAGGTGCCAGGAAGTTTAGAAAGATTACCCAGCCTTCCCAAGCTTGCTGTCCACTTAAGGCAATCCACGTTTCTTTTAGAAGTTATGTTTGCTCTAGAGCAGAAAAGAAATATGAATTAGAAGATCCCGAGAGTCTTCTGCCCTAAGCTTATGCCTATAAATATACACTTTGCAGGAGATAGCTGAGAAGTCCTCTGGGTGTCACTTGTCAGAGCCCTGCAAGAGCCCGGGATGAGCTCTCAGTGGGGCAGGGGCAGTGTCTGGTGTGGCAGCCCCAGCAGACCCGTCTTCCACCAAACGGTCTGTGTGACCAGACGGGGTTGCCACAGGGCCCGCACCCAGGCTGGCGGGGGCAGGAGAAGCGGCTGGGTTGGGCGTGTTACTTGCTGTGTTTGACTGTTAGAGGAGTTTTCATTGTCCACAAAATGAATTCCTAGGTGTTTGGCCCTTCGTGCATTTTGTGTCATTGAAAAGTTCAAAAGTCAGCCCAAGTCTTCGCATTTCGATAGATTTCTATAGTTGGGATGTTTTCACATTGTTAAGGAAAATAATTGAGGTTGCTATTTTTATAAAATTAAGTTACAACAAGATTTGATTTTGCAACTCGAATCAAAGAGTAAAAATAGGTTACTTGAAGCTGCTGCTATATAACATAAATGGAATAAATTAAAATTTATATGAACCCTAGTTCATTCTTTTTCTTCTTCCTCTTTTTTCTTCTTTTGGTGGCGGTGGTGGTGGTTGTTGTTTTGATAGTATGGGAGTTGGATTGGGATTTTACACTGAGCTCTGTCTGCAGTCCTTTTGATTTTTTATTTTGAGACAGGGTCTAAGTCACTAAGTTGCCCAGGCTGGGCTCACAGTTACGGTCCTCCTGCCTCAGCCTCCCAAGGTGCTGGGCTGACAGGTGTATGCCTGCATGCCCGCTATGTAATCATTTTTAATAGGAAATAGGAGAATATTGAATGGCACTGGAGAGATGGCAAGCAAAAAACAAAACTATAACAGTCTCTAGCAAGAGAAAACCCAGAAATATGACCCTAGTATTCGAATCTTTTCTACGCTACAAATTCCACAGGAGGCAACTGAGTACTGTAATTGAGGTGTGTGTATTGACATATTTTGGGGTCTTTGTTGAGAAAACTGGAGCCCAGTTCAGAGTGATGTGTTCTTCTTCTGTATTACCACTGACCTCGCAGGGACAGGGAGGGAACTGGCAGTGAGACAGTCTTGCCATTTACCTTTCAAATGTTGCATATATCTTATATTAAACATGCCTGAACCTGCATTCTAAGCAGTGCCACTCTGACAGTTGGAAGGTCAGATTTAGTCACCTAGAGGGTACATCTGTGAACAAGTACCTTCTACTTGGAAGGCCACAGCCACTTTATTTTTTAAACATTCAGTTTATTTTTAAAGATCAGAAGGAAGACAGAACAATAACTACATTAGACAGGGATTTGTGTGATTTAGTGCTGGCAGCTGGACAGCAGGACCTGGGACTGCTGAGTTGTGTGTGGAAGGAGGAGCGTGTTACCCCTTGTACCCACGAGGGCATTTGAATGTATCTGGGGAAGTAATAAGGGAGCCTATGAATTTAAAAGTTGACTGCTTTTTAAAAAAAATGTTGGCAGTTTAAGGGCATGGAAACATTTTGCTACTTTTTCTACAAAGAGGAAATTAAGAGCTTTTTGATTGTTTCAAGTGTGATGTTTTGTTCAGGGCACCATAATCAGGAGAGTCTGGAGTAAGTTACTGGAAGCCATCTGCTTTTCCTGAACCGAGGAGACACATTTTTCTCTCACTTTAAACTACCTTTAAGTAGGCCTCAAACAATATATGAGGACTTTGTTTTCATAGTCTCCTAAAGAAAGTGGTATATTTGGAAGGGGCAGGGATTCAAATACACCTGAAAGGGTATGCTTGAAAACAGTGTATTTGCTTTGATTGTATGTTAATAAATTTAGGTTTGCAATCTGAACCTATGGAACAAGAAATAAAACAAATCAATTTGGAAACTACCTGGTGACCCAGATCGGGCCCTCCGGAGTGGCACCGTGGGCCCAGACTAAAGAAGACCAAGGCGACAGGGTCTTTTCTGAAGTGGGAGGATGGCTGTGATAATGCTTTTCTAGGAACCTGAAAAATAAATCATTTGGAAGGAAAAAGTGAAAGTTACTAAAACTCACGGAACATTTCCTCATTTGTACAAAGCCAGTTATTCCTAATATTCAACTTAAAATGATGTCTTTTAATAGTGATACTCATGCTAAAATCAGGATTCCATTTCATTGCCTTCTGTGTGATTTTTCTTAGCCCTTGAAGTGTATAACCAGAGAAAATTGTTGCTTTTCTAAGATAAAGGGAAATAATGCTGTGACTAGGGTATTATCTCATTTTGTTAGGCTGTTTGTCTTTTATAAATTAGGTGAAGAAAACTGGGTGTTCGTGGGTTTTGTTTTTGTTTTGTTTTTGTTTTTGTTTTGAGTTGCACGGGCTGGGCTTGAACTTGTGACCTACAGCCTCCCAGAGCCAAGTTCATTCTCAACCTGAAACATGCTCCTTGATGCCTTTTTCATTTGTGTCTCAGGCCCATTCTTTTTCCTTCTTTTTTTTAATTTTTATTTTAAAGAAAATAGTACCAAAAAAAGAATAATAGCAAAATACAAACAAAACAACGCAAGGACGTTAAAAATGAGAGCCGAGCCTGGTGGCGCATGCCTGTAGTCCCAGCACTCAGGAAGCTGAGGCAGGAGGATCGTTGCGAGTTCAAGGCCAGCCTGGGCTACAAAGTGAGCTCAAGGCCAGCCTAAACTGCATAGTGAGACCCTACCTCAAAAAGACAAAAAAAAAAAAAAAAAGATACAGGGTTTCAAACCAAATGATAGGGATTAACAGTGGTTGTTATATTACATATTGTTATCTTCATGTCCAGATAAGGTTTTTCAGCAAAACCTCCAGATATTATGGACAGTGCCTGTGCCTAACAGCAGTCAGTTGGCTGACAGGATTGAGCTTAATCCACAGTTTGACAAAGCCCATAAGGAGCACCCCACTGCCCATTAAAAATGCTGTTCACCCATTCAAAATGTGCTCACGGATCAAAGTGTGGGATGTTTTTTTACTTGATTTTTAAATTTCACTCAGAATTTGCGGTTGAACCAATACATCATTTGAACTTCCATTGGAATTGGTTTTGTCATAAATGTGTCACATCTTCAACACATCAAGAAGAAAATAAAATCTCAAAATTTGACCTTTTTCCTGTGCTATACATCCATAAACTTGCTTGGAATGAAATGTGTTTTGAATAAGCTTTACTTCGCATGACTTACCCCCGCGCTGCTTCGCTCTGTCGTGCTCAGGCGCCTGTCCATGTCGTTCAAGGGTGCTGGCTGTGTCCCCACCACCACCCCTGCGAGGGACTCAGCGCTGTTGGTAAGAGAGGAGCTGGGCTCATTCGGATCCCAGACAGCTGGGAGAGGGGGCGGGCACCGAGAGAGCAGGGAGTTGATTTGCTGGTAAAAGTCACCCGCTTATACCACAACGCACCAAATGGATGACGGGTTGAAGCTGGTGGTACGGTTACTGCCGACGACAAGAATGACTCCCGGGGCACGTGCTCACTTTATTTGTGAGGCTCAAGCTGCTGACCTGAAGAGACCGTTTGCCTCCCGACAGGACTGTGAGGGAGCCGGAGCCACGTGGCAGCTGCGCCTCCTCCTGCGCTGTTGAAGGCACAGAGGCCCCTCAGCCTGCGACACTGCGGTGTCCCGGGCACTGTGAATGCATGGTCCAGCTGGTCACTTGGGGACCTGGTTAACGGACCCTCTGAAGCTCTAATAAAACCCAGGGGATACGGCCAAGCAGTGTGGCTGCCTACGCCATGCCAGGCTCTACAGGGGCTGTAGCAGGTTAAATTTTTAAAGCTGCTTTATTTTTCTTAAGACCTAGAACAGTACACCACACACACACACTCACACACACACACACACACACACACACACACACATACGTTTTCCCTGAGAGGCTTAATTACTTAAATCCATATTGATACAAATTATTTTATCTGAGCCACACTTTAAAAAAAAATTGCTATGGAATAAATAAATGAAAGTTGAAATCCATTCCTTGGTTTCCTCGGGTCAGAGTGGGCTTCGGATTTTCCTGTCCTCTTCCAGCGGGTGACAGGGTGCTCATTTCCACAGTCCCACAGGTGGCCAGAGGGGCCATGTTCCCGACCCGGCTGTGGCAGTGCTGACTCAAAAGGGCAAGACCCCAGATTTTAAATTGCCTTCATTAAAAACAAAAGTCTTCAGGGGCTGGGGATTTAGCTCAGCGGCAAAAGCTCCTGCCTGGCAAGCGCAAGGTCATGAGTTCGGTTCCCAGTACCAGAGAAAAATCAAAAAGAAAAAAAAAAAAAAAAAAAGTCTTCAGAATGTAGGTGTAAAGGGTATGCACTTCATCAGCAACAGGCGGGGAAAAAATCCTTACTTTGGGAGTTGACTATCATTCATGGAACTAGCGCTCCAGCACCTAACCATTTTAAAATCACGCCTGCAAACTGGTAACTCTGCCTCCGTTTTTTATTCTGCCCTAAATCCAAAATGTCTTCATTGTCAAGATAGGGAACCAAGATGTATTTGCAATTGTGTATTCATATTACAAAAGACTTGAAATTTAGTATCTTCTTTTTTGGTTATGTTCCATGGTACATCTATTAAGTGTGGTTTATAAACTGCACACTGGCCATTTATTTGAGTTGTATTTTTCTATGCTTTAAGTAATTAGAATAGATTTGGCTTCTTCTGGGTAACAAAGGTGGCTGAACCACATGTATGTGGGTTCTACTTTAGCATGGAAACTTTTTATATTAATGAATCCATACATTTGTGTTTGTCAAAAACACATCCACTTCTTTTTATTTGTATAGTTTGTTATTTAAAGAAATGTCTGTCTTTTCTATTTTTCATACAATAAAACTGAAATGGGGGCTGGGGATTTAGCTCAGCGGCACAGCCCCTGCCTGGCACGCACAAGGTTGTGAGTTCGATTCCTGGTACCGGAAAAAAACCCAAAAAGAACAATAAAACTGAAATAATATTAATAATAGTGTTGTAAATCAGCCTAGGGTCCTTTGGTTCACTTCAGATGGAAATGGTGAATTGTTAAGGTACAGCTCTGCTGGCAGTGCCGATGTCACCAGATGACAGCTCATAATGCTGGGTGCTAGCACTGACGTCTGGCTGCTGGTCACTGCCAGCACCAACCACCACTGTCTGATGCCAGCGTGTGCCCAACGCCATAGATCAAGTGTGCTGGGTAGCAGTCTCTGCTGCACTTCTCCGGAGCTCTTCAGTGCTACAAGCTCTGAGTGTTAATTGCTCTTTCTTTTGAAATGACTGTTGTGTCCATGCTCCTCAGGATAAAAATCCCAAGTAGATTTATGGGACTTGTAAAGCATACACCACCCAAGAAATAAGTCACAAGCTGGTGTGGAGGAACATCAAAGCAATCTTTATTTACCACCTACCCTCTCCAACTGTCACAGGAAAAATGAGAACAGGGGTTTCTAATCTTTCTCATTTCCCCCTCAGAGATGTCATCTTCCTTAATCTTAAGGGGAGCTGAAAAGCGAAGTTCCATCTTTAACTGCTTTGAAGCTGACCTGGGACAGTTGACCTAGA